CACCGGTGCTACAAAGCCTGTACACTGTGCTGAGCTTCTTTGGACTCAGACTTGAGTTAGAAAAAGAACAGAGAACTTATGGGTTACGCATGTGTGCCATGATGTTGATTCGTTGTTCAAAACCTAAAACCATATCCATAAAAAGACAATTCTCAGTACCAGTAAACAGATAACCCTCAGTGCCCATAAACAGATAATCTTCAATGCCCCTACTCAGACACACAGAGAATCCCTGTATGGGAACTCTCGGTATATTTATGCTGACTCTCACAAGTGTCCCTGAACAGGCAACCATGTGTGACGCTAAAGAAAATACCTCATTATTTTTTACCAAAACCTCTAGTAAAATTGCATTGACGTGCTGCTAACGAGATTCATAAATCTCTGTCTCAACACAACGAGGAATGTTCACACCACTTTCATGACATGTTAGGCCACATGTGGGTGCAGTCATAGTGTTGCTATATACGTACGTCTGTATTTGTGGACATATCATCATTATCATCAATCCTTTTATCCACAACCTTCTGTCTCGTGTACTTTCGCTCAGTTCTGACATAGATGATCATCCATGTCGAGATCCCAACTGTCCAGCATCTTCTTTTTGGTCTCCTTCTGCCTCTTTTTCCAGCTAATTTCCCCACGGCAGTTTGCTTTTTCTAATCACATGAACAAAGAATGTAGATTGTCTCCTGAGGTGGGCAGTCAGTTCACCTCATGAGTCAGTTTCTTTCAAGACATTTTCATTACTCTTTGTCTGTCCAGAGTATTGTCATTCTGCATCTATAAAACCACATCTCTGCCACTTTCAAATAATTTTTCACTAACCTTCCAACGATGATTCACTTTCAGATATCAGTATAGGATGATGTAGCTCTTGAGAATTCTCTTCTCGTCTCAACTGACAAAAAACTATTGCTGTTGTTCGAGCTATTCTACTTTAACTTTCCATGTTATCATGAAAGAAAAAATTTGATAACTGAATAAGTTTCCAACTTAATAACAAGATAATAACAATCCTACGCGATATTGATAGATGTTGTTCTTTTTAAAAGAGGCCCACCTTTTTAATTTAGTAAGTATCTTCCTTTAGAGCATGTACCTAAACTTTGTTAGGATGCTGGTGGAAAGACGGATGGCTGCAAGTGTAGTAGCCAGAAATCTCTGCATGTTAAACTGTAAACCGAAAAACTATCTTGCCTTACCTTGCCGAGAGGTAGAACCGGTGACCTTAAGATGAGAACCCAGCCTCCTAACTAAACCTTCAGCTATAAAATGCTAGTAAAAATAAATTTTTAGCTATTTTTTTTTTTTTTTTTTAATAATATTTGGAGTGTTTTCGTTTTCAAGTCTGTTAATTTAAGAGGTATAAAATTCAGCCATGTCCTTAGCTGAAAGAGGTTAAACACACAGTTGTACACCTTGTTTGTAGAAGATGAGAGACGATGCTCGTGTAAAAACCGTGATTCTAGGACACTGGAGGTATGCTTGCAGCTGAGAAGAGCAGACAAGAGCAGACAACTTGCTTTTGTCTAGCAATGGAACATTTTAAAGCCGGGAGTAGCAGATCACCCAGATAAGCATTGCAAATTCAGGAACCCACAAACCATCTGTCCTAGCAAACGTTGATGCGTAAGTACATCATATAGAATGAAGAAGTGACATGTCTGGAGTTGTTATATATTTCCTGTGATTAAATATACTGTAGACACGGAATTGCTGGTAAACCTGTCAAACTATTAATAATGTAAAAATATTAACTATGTCACCTTTGCAAAGAACAATAAACTGAGGACATTTTCTTGGCAAAGTTACATCAGCACACAACAACAATAAAGATATCATAATACAGAGACAAAGATGTACAAGTTACTAAAACAACTGCACTAAAGCATGATAATGTAAGGCGTATATTTTTAAACAATTGCCTTAATGTAATATGTTGTTTACGTCACTCTACTGTAATTTATTGGCTTTCTTGTTGTTGATGAAAGCATTCACCAAAATTGTAATGAGACAAAGCCTGACTATTTTAGGTGTTTCCAGTGGTGTCTGAATTATGTGGCATGGCAATCATTAACTTGTCCTCTCTCGTGTGCAGGTTGAAGACATAGAATCCAAGCTTGATCTGCTGGTGGACATGTACCAGGAAGACAGGAAACTTCTCATGCAGCAGCTACATCAGTCTTATGGTGGGCCTGCACTAGGCGGCTTATCTCATCCACCCCCGCCGCCGCCGCCGCCCCCAGCACCCTCATCGCAGTTTAAACCCCGGCCTATATTAATCGACAAACAGTTCACCAGTGAGCCAGCAACCCCGACAGGTTTGGGGTTTGTGATGTCAGCAGATGGACGACAACAAACCATGAAACCTGTCATTCAAAGAAATTTGTCAGATCTTAGCCAACGAATAAAAAAACGTGTAACCTATCGGGGACTATCACTGCACGATCCGCCTTCCCGTGCACAATCTGCAGCTAATTTTTCTTCCAGTTTACCTCCGCCCTCTTTCCTACAAACTCCCCACTTTAATTATGCCACCAGCCCTGAGAAAGTAGCTTCCACGACAATCTCAGAAACTCGAGATGACTACCGTGAGAATTTGATTTCCCTTCATGACGTACACCCTTTAGAGGATGGGCAGTTGAAATCCAGGCTTGAAGACGCTAAGCAAGAGGTGGACCAACTCTGCCACGGCGACTCACCTGCATCTGCAAATTCACCCCCAAGTACTGATGAGGGTTGTTTCTTTAGTGACTCAAATTCCAGTGCTGGACTAAAAGGTCTTCAGCTCTTGCATCAGACACAGACGCCCACAGTTACTGCCGCCAGTATCCTACAGGGTAAAACACTGTCCACTCTGAATGAACAGCGAAGTATGGAATCTGATACTAGTTTGCCGTGCTTAGATACGCCGTCTCCGCCAAAGAGAAGAGCAGATGGTACACTGACTCAGTCATGTACATCTGATTCCACACAACAGTCGCCATCGATGCATCGGGCAACACATCTTCCTGCTGAAACAGCAAACCCTCAAACAAACCAACGCCAGCACAAACCCATCCTAAGACTTCCATCTGCCCCAGCATCGTTGTCATCCCCCAGATCCAGTACGAACAGTCAACAATGTGACAACTTGTCGGTAGCCGTGGCAGTAGGAACAGCGAACTCACAACATCCCTTAAACCATACCAACAACATCAGCAGTTTTATCATCCAGTCAGAGGAAGCGTCGCTGCTCTGTCATAAAGACTACGACATATTACAACCCAGAAATGATGGCACATCAGCTCATGGCTACCACACTTCGGACTGTTGATAACAGTCAACGCCTCAGTTCTTTCATCATACCTGAGAGTAATCTATAACACGTGTAAAAACTAAAGAATCGCCGGTTGTGTTTAAGGTTCTGAAACCAAAATCCATGAGAGAAACTTCATTTTGAATAATAAAGATTATTTTTGACGGTTGGGGTTGTGACATTATAATAAATGGCTTTTGATATAGTCTGGCCAGCGCAGGTAAGGACCTTTGTTCGGTTAATTTGCAAAATGGCGCTAGATCCACTTGTAACAGACCAATCTGCATCCGTGGTCAAAATAGCAACATCTGCCTTTATTTCATTAGATACTTCCAGTCACCTATTTTAGAACGTCTCGCTCTGAAAGAAATAAAGAGACCTCAGATGGTTGCTTTCAAACCTTAGACTGTTGATAATAAGCAACACCTCAGTTCTAGAGGAATAATAAAAAGCACACATGCAATTAAAGAATCATCGTCGGTATCTAAACTTCCAATAACCATATCTAGAGATTACATTCAACTTGGAATACTGAAGACATATTGATGACATCTGATTACCAAAGCTCTGTAAAGTGTATTAGACGTGTCTAAGAAACATGCTGGCCACAACGGTTTTAATGGCATGAGCCACTCTTCTAGTAAAATCCACTCTTTCTCACCTACCCCAACCACACATAAGGCAAGGATGGGTACTATCACTTTTACAGAAGAATCTTTAGCATTCATTGAACAGCTAAGAAGGGCAACCCAGACAAATTATCACAAACACCAGAAGAAGACAGCCTTCATTTATGTTATGTTATGAGAAGAGGAAAATTGGAACATTTTGTGACCACTGAAAAGATCTTTAGAAAGAGAGACACAGGAAGACAGTTCTTAACAGTCTTTTGTCATGGTATAGAGGGATGTCTGCGCGCGAACGCGGTTGCCGATCACATATTATGGAGAGGCATGATCGCCCATGCCAGTCGACAAGCCACTTTATCATAATGTTGTAGTTACCTCTTGTACTGAGTATTTTGGTAGAATCGTTTTATCACCCTCCATTATTTTGGCATTCTGGACAAAACTTCGACCTGAGTTACAGGACATTGAACTCGGCCACGCTATAATTGTGGGCAGACTGTAGCAAAGTCGTCGGCACAAACATCAACTAGCAATTGATAGTGCTGATGTGCTGATGCTAGGGCCACGAGAATCAGCTCATGCCGGAAGAATTGGAACATCAGAACACAATTTTGTGTTGCTACATTTTAAATTTAAAAAAAAAAAAATGTGTTTGAAATGCGGGGAACAAACAATGTTTCGTGGTCAGATACGGCCCTGGAAAGGTTACAGCAGGCCCAATCATTAATGTGTTTCTTAATAAACGGGCCTTGTCCCACTCCATGCAGATTTTGAAACACAAGCAAAAATAGATAGATCTGATTGGACATTTAATGATGTGTAAGATACCTGGGCAATAATAGTTACGGTGGAATAGATCACACTACGTGTCTATCGAGATTACACAGAATACAGTTGGCGGATATTCACTTTTGATTCATGTTAGTTTTTGCATTGTTTCCATTTATGGTACAACTTTTAGCCGGATATGTCAATTAGTACTGTGTTTTTGAACTTATGTATGTGTTATTATACACATGATGACATATATTGTTAGCTGATCAGCTGACTACTGACTAACCCCTAAAACAATCTGGAAAAGGTCTTTTTGGTTTTTGTTTTGTTAGTGTCTTCCTTATCTTTGAAAAGTGTGTTGAATCAGCATTCTTGCCGGGACAGTAGAGTGCGGCAAGTCATTTCAAAACAAACCTTCCTCATAGCACCAAACACCGTCGGCACTATAATCCTTATGTCACTGGTTGATTCGCTTCGGAGGTGTTGCCAGTGCATTGGCATGCGTAGCCTGCTACACTTAGCGATAGCCAACTGCCAATCAACGTTGAATGCTTTCAACATACATACACAAGCTCACTGTTCGTCTTGGTCTGAGGAAGCTCAGTAGCATCATCTGACTCTGCCATCAGTGGGATGGGGTGTGAACATTTGTCATCATGAAGACTGGCAGCACGTCTCCAAGTCATTACAACAGACACCTTCTTCATGTGTTGTCTCCCTGATACCAGGTTGTATCCCAGTGTTGTGGTCTTATTGTCTCACTGACACCAGGATGAAGCCCAGTGTCGTGGTTTTGTCTACTCACTATTACGAGATTGTAACCCAGTGTGGTTTTTTTTTTTCTTCAAATATTTGCTTGCGCTTCTCGTGTGGCTTGATCTGTTCATGTTTTTACAAGTTTCAGCTACACCATTTATCCATCTCTTTCTTGGTATTCCTCTCGCATTCCTACCAGATGTTCTACTGTAAAAAAAAAAAAAAAAAAAATATCATTTGCAATCTGGTATGGCTGCATTTTCACTAGATGGCTGAACCATTTTATTCTTTGTCTCTCAATATAATCCATACATGGTCTTATTCCAACTTTCTATCTAACGCTGGAATTCGTAACCCTGTCTCGCCTAGTGTTGTTAGTGACCTTTCAGAGACAGCGCATTTCGCATGTAGTTATTTTCTGTTCTAGTGCCCTATTCATTATCCATGTTTGGCACTGATAACATAAAGCTGGAAAAAAGATGCTAGTAATCATTTGTTGTTTTGCTGGAAGGGAAACTGTTGGTTGTCAAAGCAACAAACACAAATAGCATAAAACCTGGTTAACAAGACTCTTTTCTTTCTCTCTTTTGTCTTTATTTATTTTATTTTATATTTCAAATCACAGGTGTTTAGCTGATAATGTGGTGTTGGAGGTTATGTTTATCTGATGATGTGATGTTGGAGGTTACGTTTAGCTGATGATGTGGTGTTGGAGGTTACGTTTAGCTGATGATGTGGTGTTGGAGGTTACGTTTAGCTGATGATGTGGTGTTGGAGGTTACGTTTAGCTGATGATGTGGTGTTGGAGGTTACGTTTAGCTGATGATGTGATGTTGGAGGTTACGTTTAGCTGATGATGTGGTGTTGAGGATATGTTGAGCTGATGATGTGGTGTTGGAGGTTACGTTTAGCTGATGATGTGGTGTTGGAGGTTACGTTTAGCTGATGATGTGGTGTTGGAGGATATGTTGAGCTGATGATGTGGTGTTGGAGGTTATGTTGAACTGATGATGTGGTGTTGGAGGTTATGTTGAACTGATGATGTGGTGTTGGAGGTTATGTTGAACTGATGATGTGGTGTTGGAGGTTATGTTGAACTGATGATGTGGTGTTGGAGGTTATGTTAAACTGATGATGTGGTGTTGGAGGTTATGTTGAACTGATGATGTGGTGTTGGAGGTTATGTTGAACTGATGATGTGGTGTTGGAGGTTATGTTGAACTGATGATGTGGTGTTGGAGGTTATGTTGAACTGATGATGTGGTGTTGGAGGTTATGTTGAACTGATAATGTTGTGTTGGAGGTTACGTTTAGCTGATGATGTGGTGTTGGAGGTTATGTTGTGTTGATAATGTAGTGTTGGAGTTTATGTTGAGCTAATAATGTGTTGTTGGAGGTTACTTTGAGCTGATAACGTGGTGTTGGAGCTATGTTGAGCTGATAATGTGGTGTTGGAGGTTATGTTGACCTGATAATGTGGTGTTGGAGGTTACGTTTATCTGATGATGTGGTGTTGGAGGTTACGTTTAGCTGATGATGTGGTGTTGGAGGTTACGTTTAGCTGACGATGTGGTGTTGGGGGCTATGTTTAGCTGATGATATGGTGTTGGAGGTTACGTTTAGCTGATGATGTGGTGTTGGAGGTTACGTTTATCTGATGATGTGGTGTTGGAGGTTACTTTTAGCTGATGATGTGGTGTTGGAGGTTATGTTGAGCTGATGATGTGGTGTTGGGGGTTACGTTTAGCTGATGATGTGGTGTTGGAGATTACGTTTAGCTGATGATATGGTGTTGGAGGTTACGTTTAGCTGATGATGTGGTGTTGGAGGTTACGTTTAGCTGATGATGTGGTGTTGGAGGTTACGTTTTGCTGATGATGTGGTGTTGGAGGTTACGTTTAGCTGATGATGTGGTGTTGGAGGTTACGTTTAGCTGATGATGTGGTGTTGGAGGCTATGTTTAGCTGATAACGTGGTGTTGGAGCTATGTTGAGCTGATAATGTGGTGTTGGAGGTTATGTTGAGCTGATAATGTGGTGTTGGAGGTTACGTTTATCTGATGATGTGGTGTTGGAGGCTATGTTTAGCTGATGATGTGGTGTTGGAGGTTACGTTTAGCTGATGATGTGATGTTGGAGGTTACGTTTAGCTGATGATGTGGTGTTGGAGGTTACGTTTTGCTGATGATGTGGTGTTGGAGGTTACGTTTAGCTGATGATGTGGTGTTGGAGGTTACGTTTAGCTGATGATGTGGTGTTGGAGGCTATGTTTAGCTGATAACGTGGTGTTGGAGCTATGTTGAGCTGATAATGTGGTGTTGGAGGTTATGTTGAGCTGATAATGTGGTGTTGGAGGTTACGTTTATCTGATGATGTGGTGTTGGAGGCTATGTTTAGCTGATGATGTGGTGTTGGAGGTTACGTTTAGCTGATGATGTGATGTGGGAGGTTATGTTTAGCTGATGATGTGGTGTTGGAGGTTATGTTTATCT